AAATGCAGCTTTGACTGGGGAGCCACATCCAAGGCGAGCTTGTGAACTACTGCCTTGAACGATTTCTTCGGGATGGACAGGTAGTTGTCTATACTTTGCAGATCATGTATCTGCTGCTCCACCAGTCGCCGGTTGATCTTGACGGGGTAATTGTTACTCGAGGCACAAGACGACCCCGAAGACGACCCCGAAGACGACCAAGGCGAAGCCGACGAAGACGACGGCGAGCTCTGAACCTCACACGTTGGTCACCATTCAGAGGACAAGGTGCAGAACGACACTTTGCATTGTAACTGTAACGTCTTGCGTACTCTGCAGTCACAGGAACATTGGAACGCCGAGGGGGTGTGCAAGGCGAAGGCGAGCTGTTGACCTCACATCAGAAGAATCTTGTCAACAGTGCTTGTCAATTGTCTGTGAATTTCCAGTCCTGGAACCAACTGATTGCAGAAGCGGCACTTGCAGCTCTGCTTGCTTGCCCGTCTTCCGTGTAGCCTCATCTTGGTCAGGAACTAAGTGACAGGTCCAGAGCGAGCGTTTCGGCCAGAGACGCATACTTGCGAGCAGAGCACAACCACCCTCTGCTTCTCTAGCTGGCCTGTCTTCCGTGTGGCCTTAGATTCAGTCAGTACTTCGCACAAGTTCTAATCTAGCAACAATAAATGACAAGACTGGCTTACAACCACGGCACTCCAGCTTCCTTGCCTCTGTTCCGTGTTGCCTCAGCTGTTGCAAATTTCCTCTGAAATTTAAACACACAGAAGCAAGTGCGTCTCGAACAAACTGGCAAGGCACTCGCACCATCTCTGCTGGATTCTACCCCGGTGGACACTGACTCGCACGGTCCAGCAATGAACCCAGAGCAAACAAATGCTGCAGCACATGCTTCGATTCCTGCTGCTTGCTCACACAACGGCAGCCCAATATGAGACACACGGACTTCTAAACCCAGGTGCCAGACTCTCTGATCGCCAATGGCCTCATGCGCCAGAAGCTTGCAGGATTTATTGCAACTCAGATTTCGGCAGAATGACTACTCAGCCTTGCCAGTCACACCAAGTCGAGACTCCACGGCCAGGACCTCGGAGTCATCTCGGTGCCAAATGTGCACGTCACGACCCCATGTTCACATGCACTGGACTCGATGCTTTACTGGACCTAAGCATGTCGAGCTGCGGAATCTGGGGTACTCTACAGGAGTGCTTGGACGACTGTCGAATCCAAGGCCCCGGCTTAGATCTTGTTTGCAATAATGAGAGAAGATGGCTGCTGGTCAGACCTGGCAGTAAAGTGTATCTGCAGATGTGCGAACTAAGACGACTGGCACTGGCACCTGCCGAGGGGCAAACAAAAAGAACATCTCGTCGGCCAAAGACCTCAACTCCAAGGGAATGGGGTGTGACCAAGGAATCAGGAAGCGCAAATAGCTGAGCAAAGCATTTCTTCACTTTTGGACCACTTTGTGCTGCAATCGAGGTCTTTCGCTGGAAGAGCCTGGAAGACTCGTGGTCTTGCGAGCAATGCAAAAAAACCAGTCTTGACTAAACTATTAATTGGTCCTGTCCTTTGTGTTCTAATGTAGTTCAGGCTTCGGCACGGCTCGCAAGAAAGCTGGCCAGAAACTTACCTGTGCCAGCTCCACTTCTTCCAATTGTCGTCATACCACACCCACTCCCAATCTTCCCACCAACTATTCCAAGACCAGAAGCCATCCTGCGAGCTCTGGTGCGAAGACGAAGTCGACTGGTGCCAAGACGAAGTCGACTGCGACGGATGCTGGGAAGATGCGGCAGCCTGGTGCTGCTGGGACGAAGACGACGAAGGCCCTCCCTGTCCTGGTCCGTCTCCTGGTCCTTGTGAACAGGAGAATGATTGACTCCATAAATCGTCAATGACAAAGTAATTAGAAGCAAGAAAAATTTGCAAAAGGAAGAAGTCGGGCATAATCCAAGAAGCGAAAAGTCCTCACATTCAAGCGGGACATGACATGAAATTGCACGCTGGCGGACGCATTGCGGAACACTTCGTCGAGGGGACAGTTGCCCTTCTTGCTCCTCTCCCTGAGTTAACGGCCAAGGCAATCAGATAGTGAGGTGTTTCAAACAACTTCTTTTCATAGACATGATAATTCATTAAAACATCCGATTTTCTACTGATGAAATGCCGCCCGAGCTTCCGAAGAATATGGGCCATAAATTCCCGGGCTTTCGTCTTGTCTTCTTCGCACAATGCTGCCATCCCCTGGACTGAAGCAAAACAGACCATCTGTTTGAATATTGAAGCAGGCAACAACTGAGTCCATGCTTGCAGGCAAGTCACGGCCCAGGCACTGTCATCGATGTTCATCTGGATCATCAGCTCGAAGAGCTCCGGCGTGTATTTTCTGACCATTCGCTGTGCCAGTGTGAGGTCCTCCTCCTCAGACTCTTCCTCGCCGTCACCATCGTCGTCATCATCAGCAGGCGGCGGCTTCCCCGGTGGCGGAGGCGGCGGAGGACCAAGAGACTCCAAAAACTTCGCCGTTTGCGAAGGCCAAGACGGACATTTGTTCTTGCTGCCACTTGGGGGCGGCTGATCATCATCATCATCATCCGGTAATGATGAGGACGACTCCTCCTTCTCGAGAAATTTTTTCTTGTCGTCCTTGTTCTCGTCCTCCTCCTTCTTCTCGTCCTCCTCCTTGTTCTCGTCCTCCTCCTTGTTCTCGTCCTCCTCCTTGTTCTCCTCCTCCTTGTTCTCGTTGTCATGGTTCTCCTCCTTGTTGTCCTCCTTCTTCTCGTTGTCATCGTTCTCCTCCTTGTTCTTCTCCTCCTCCACGTCCGCCTTTTCCTTTTTTTTTTTTACGGTCCTCCGTCTTCGGCGTTGAGGTCTGGATGTTCATGTGGAAGACGGTGTTCAAGAACCTGAGGAAGCAGGACTAATTAAGGAAGAACACGTTGAATTGATTGAACATTGACTATGCAGCCCATCGGCCTCCTTTCCGCCTCTGTTTGGATATTTTTTATCGCAGCTGTGATCTTCTTCGACTCTGCGAAGCTTGGAATGTCGTCCATGTCTGAGTAGAAGGCAGATTTTCCCGGCACCCATAGCGAAACCATAAAGCACCAGCCCACCACCATCGCAGTAGCGACGGAACGAAGGCGACCATCCCCGCCTAAGTACCAAGCAGTGTCTGACTCGACATGGTGCAACTCACTCCTAGGACCAGTGACTGATCGCCAAGTTGCACGTGAGGATGATGACGTGGGCCTTGTCGTCTCGTCCATCCTTGGCGGCGCAGATGCCCATGACCTGGGTGGGCTCAGCATTCAACATTCCCAAAAAAAGGAAGGTCTCTGTCCAAGCACACGGAATCAGCCGAGATGCCACGCACAGCACTGACACCATGGCCTCGGAGCCCTCCAAGATGAGCTTGTAAAAGTCATTTTGTGAACTCAGAGGGTCTCCTTGGCCGGATCAGAAAGCAAGGAAGTTTGGCACCAACGCAACAGCTCAAGTAAATTGCCGCCAAGCTTCCGCCACGGAGGCTGTCGGGGAGCTCCCCCGGCCACAGCCGCTGGACGTCCAGCAGGCAAACGGCCGCTGTCGGCCAGTAGCTCTTCGCGTCATCTCAGCTTCTGCTATAATACAGGGAACTCCAGAAAGTTGGAATATGGTTTAATGCTAGGATACCCTATAATTTACCATAGAAGAGTTAGGATAATCATATTCCAACTTTCTGGCTTTTACCTTATTACAAAAAAAACCTTGGCCTACCTGAAGGAGGACGCTTTGTTAATTTCAGTCCAGATGCAGATGTGCGTCGGGTTGTTGCCGTGCGCCGCGACGATGCAGCAGTCGAGCTCGACGCACAAATACGTCGTCATGACGAAGGCGAAGACGACGAAGGCGAAGAGGACGAAGGATGACGCCAAAGGCGACGAAGGCGAAGGCGAAAAAGGCGAAGACGACGAAGGTCCTGGGATCGCGGAATTTCGCATGAAATGAAATACTTACATGCTCTCACTGCAAGGTCACGTGGCAGGCTCCTTCTCTCGACGCTGGGCTCCTTCTCTCGACGCGGCCGTCCAAGCCAGGGACAGAAAACGGCTAAAATTCTGCTGCTTCTGCCGGCTAAATCATCAATTCCAGTGACACTGTTTCATAACGACATCAGCCTACTCTTCTATTAAGAATTAACTCGGCTTCAATGTCCTGGTATAGAATGCTGCATGCGTAGACATGTGCATGTGCTCACTCCCTCACTTGAGCAATGATTAAAAAGCTGGCACAAACCAAGGACATTCATTCATGCAAGTGCCCGAACTGACTGACTTGGCACGAAGCAGCATCTACTCAGTCCCGAACCATCTGTAATGACTGATGTGCATGGCCAAGGTGTCATCCAACCTGGCGGCAGACAATGTGAGCGGTAATCATGACATTGCTCTGAAGCATTTTGTCGGCATGCCTCTTCGAGCTGCTCACTTCAACTTCGCACATGACATTGTAGGAACGAAGCAGCATCTACTCAGTCCCGAACCATCTGTAATGACTGATGTGCATGGCCAAGGTGTCATCAAACCTGGCGGCAGACAATGTGAGCGGTAATCATGATTTCAGCAACCCCTGGTTATCATCATTGTTCAGGATTGCTCTGAAGCATTTTGTCGGCATGCGTCTTCAAGCTGCTCACTTCAACTTCCCACATGACATTGTAGGAAGCGAAGGCGAAGACGAAACAAAGGCGAACGCCCAACGAAGGCGAACACCAATTCAAAAAAAAGCCTAGGCCGGGCCTTTGGGATTGCCCTTGCCTTTGCCTTTGTCGCTACCTCTGCCGGGCCCTCCCAGGTGCTCGGGAAGCGGCCGCCACGGCTTCGGAGGGCCTCTCAGGCCATGCAGCTGGCTGGTGGTGCCCCCCTTAGCGATTCTGGGTTATGTAGCAAGTCATGTTACTTACCTACAAATAGAATATAAAACATAAAAGTTTATTGTTGTAAATAAAATACCAAGTCTGCTCAGGGAACGGTCGTCGCTGACTGAACATACCTGGCATAGATCGCGAGCTCGGGAGTGTGGAAGGCGTATAACGCCTCCCACTGGGCGAACTCCGCGATCTGCCGCTGCATGAACTGACATGGGCACGCGAAACCAGCCCCTAGAAATTGAGGCTGACTCAAAGCCGATCATAGTAAGTACAAGTCCTTGGAACCTTATTTAGTAAGTTGAAAGAACCAGGCCCTGCCTGAAGGCTGTCACGCGCCTCTCCAGGTGTTCTGGGCGTCGGCGGGAGGGCGATGTTCAAGGACTGCCGGTCCAGCCCATGGTCTTGGGCGGTGGCATAGTTGTCGCTTGACAACATCCACACCACTCGAGTCTTGATCGCCGCCAGCTCATTCATGGCCTGTGTCCACAAGCTGAAAACGTCCCCCGGGGGGGGGAACTGGACAGCACGAAGACGAAGCCGACGAAGGCAGCGAACTCGAAGCCGGAGGCGCCTTCGACGAAGCCGGCGACGAAGTCGAAGCCGGCGGCGAAGTCGAAGCCGGCGGCGGAAGCGGCGGCGGCGGAATGGGAGCCGCCGCCATGTCGGCACCCAGACCTGCCTCCGCCGGCAAGACAGCAGCTGCAGGAGCTTTGGCAGCGATTGGTGTGGCACCAACTGGAGTACTGCCTGGGATTTGAAGTTCCAAATCCGCATGCCTGGCCTTTATATTAATTATTGACTGTTTTTAATCTTACGAAGCAGCAAACATACAAGTTAGAAGAGCTTGACCTGATTGAATGCCAAGGCACTAGCCTTGCCCTGCTGCTGCTGCCATCTCGCCCTCTTCACGCTCCGGTTCGACGTTGGATCCTGGATCTAGAAGATATTGGGCAATTCAATTGAATAGGGCAAAACGGTGAGGGGTAATATAACGGCCTGTGGGAAGGACAGCTCAGCCCTTACGCGAA